GTTTGGAGGAGCAGATGGATCACCACAGTCTGGTGAGATTGATGCAGTTGGGAGTGACGAGAGGTTCTGGCAGATGCTCGAGGCTCAGGGGAAAGGCAAGACGGACGTTTAATCAGAATGCTACTGGCACCATTAGTATCGGAACTTTATGCTGGCTGCTGAAGATGGGGACGGAGTGCTCATGGGAATGACCCGAGTTCTGTGATGTCGGTTCTTGAATCAAATCAAATCAGTTGAGGTAAGAGGAGCGTAAAATTAATGACTCCACAGGGGCTTCGTAATCTTAAATCCAACTCTGTGTTATATGGTCAGTTCATGACCGTCTCGACCTTATATTGAATGGTCAGTTCATAACTCGGCCAACCTTTATTGTGAAGACGGTATGCGAGCGATGATCGACGGATCCCCAAATTTGCCCGCGTTGATTTCCCGTGCAGGTTTTAGACGGCCAGATAGGGGAAGTAACCCAGAGATCAGACGTCCGTCCAGCAGAAATAGGAAGTTATAGGGAAAAGGAAAATCGGAGACGGATGTTTGTTGAAGTTTTTGTTTTCAGGTTTCTCTTTCACCTTCCTCGTGTCACCGCCCATTCGTATTTATTTAAACTTCCTGGATCACATTCTATCTGGGTGGATGTTTGTTCATGTTTTAGAAGTTGGCTTTAAGAATATATAGAGATATTTACGACTATTTATTACGAGTGTTGTCAACTTCAGCGCACCAGACTACTAAACGATCGAGGGAGGGACGGACGGATAACTTGGATAAGGAACAGTAAAATTCATTACAGTTACAGCACTTTGTAACAATTTGTGGCGATCAAGATTCAGACAGTCATTTAACTTCTGCCAACGGTGGTGATGGTCAGTCAGGTAGTAAGTTTGTTGGTTAGTTAGGTACATTAAGTTAGTCACTTATGGTGGATAGAGATTTTTTAAACATTTTAATAAAATTAGTCATTTTGTGTTCTTATACTTATACTTGAACTTATATAATTAGATACCTCTCCTTCTTACGTTCCTTCCTCTTGACAAGAGTCCACCCAACAAGTATATTGGCATATTGCACATCATGTTTCTTGTAATTAGTTAAAAAAACAGTCATTAGCACCAGAAGCCTTAGTAAGTTAATTATTGAACTAATCATTAAAAAAACAGCCCCTCCTGTAAACTACGGCCGGTAGACAACAGTAGACGGCCGGTTAGTCGGAGTTCTGTCCCTTGGCTGCAGTGCAATTACAGAGTGGAAAAGGCACGAATCAAAAAATAAAGTGAAGTCGACATGCCTGGCAGAATCCGCGCTGCGACTCAAATTAGCGACTGCGTTCAGTTCTTGTGACGCATTACTGAGTAGTTTAGAAGGAACGAAACAAGTTACATAATTACTGTGTGTAGGCGATAGACAATGTGCAGTGCCCTACTGTCTTCATACGGTTTGGGTTAGGGTTTGGATTAGGGTTAGGGTTTGGGTTGCTACGTTGAGTTTCTGCGAAGACGAGAGGCGGCGACACTAACCGTAACGCTAACCCAAACTCTAACACTAACCCTAACCCAAACCATAACCGTATGATTATAGCAGGGCAGTGCACGCTGTCTATCGCCAACACACAGTAATTGTGTCAATTGTTTCGTTCCCTCCTTTTCCACTCCGTAATTGCACTGTAGCCAAGGGACAGAACTCCGACTAACCGGCCGTCTACTGTTGTCTACCGGCCGTAGTTGACAGGAGAGCCAAAAAACGTTTTTATAATCTGTTAATAACTTTATAAAACCAGTTGATTGTATCTTGATCCGTTTGTGTTTAACAGTAACAGTGATCTGATATCTTCACTGCAGACTCAGGTATTTTGAAAGGCATTCTTTTTGGCTTTAGGGATTCATGGGGGGAGGGCAGGGGGGGGGGGGGGGTCATTAAGTCCTTTTAGCAAGTTGGACCCTATTTTATGGATAAGATTGTTCTTGAGACACTGGAGTGGCTAGACTTGACTGTAGCCTCCATGGTGAAAACACCTTGGTGACCCTTGAGAGACTTACAGTCTGTCACTGGAGTGGCTAGACTTGACTGTAGCCTCCATGGTGAAAACACCTTGGTGACCCTTGAGAGACTTACAGTCTGTCACTGGAGTGGCTAGACTTGACTGTAGCCTCCATGGTGAAAACACCTTGGTAACCCTTGAGAGACTTACAGTCTGTCACTGGAGTGGCTAGACTTGACTGTAGCCTCCATGGTGAAAACACCTTGGTGACCCTTGAGAGACTTACAGTCTGTCACTGGAGTGGCTAGACTTGACTGTAGCCTCCATGGTGAAAACACCTTGGTGACCCTTGAGAGACTTACAGTCTGTCACTGGAGTGGCTAGACTTGACTGTAGCCTCCATGCTGAAAACACCTTGGTGACCCTTGAGAGACTTACAGTCTGTCACTGGAGTGGCTAGACTTGACTGTAGCCTCCATGGTGAAAACACCTTGGTGACCCTTGAGAGACTTACAGTCTGTCACTGGAGTGGCTAGACTTGACTGTAGCCTCCATGCTGAAAACACCTTGGTGACCCTTGAGAGACTTACAGTCTGTCACTGGAGTGGCTAGACTTGACTGTAGCCTCCATGGTGAAAACACCTTGGTGACCCTTGAAAGACTTACAGTCTGTCACTGGAGTGGCTAGACTTGACTGTAGCCTCCATGCTGAAAACACCTTGGTGACCCTTGAGAGACTTACAGTCTGTCACTGGAGTGGCTAGACTTGACTGTAGCCTCCATGCTGAAAACACCTTGGTGACCCTTGAGAGACTTACAGTCTGTCACTGGAGTGGCTAGACTTGACTGTAGCCTCCATGGTGAAAACACCTTGGTGACCCTTGAGAGACTTACAGTCTGTCACTGGAGTGGCTAGACTTGACTGTAGCCTCCATGGTGAAAACACCTTGGTGACCCTTGAGAGACTTACAATCTGTCACCGGAGTGGCTAGACTTGACTGTAGCCTCCATGCTGAAAACACCTTGGTGACCCTTGAGAGACTTACAGTCTGTCACTGGAGTGGCTAGACTTGACTGTAGCCCCCATGGTGAAAACACCTTGGTGACCCTTGAGAGACTTACAGTCTGTCACTGGAGTGGCTAGACTTGACTGAGGCCTCCATGGTGAAAACACCTTGGTGACCCTTGAGAGACTTACAGTCTGTCACTGGAGTGGCTAAACTTGACTGTAGCCTCCATAGTGAAAAAACCTTGGTGACCCTAATAATTGAAATGCGCCAGCAATGTTTCGAAGGCACCATTCTAAACAACAGAAAGAGGTTTCCTGAATTTTCCAGCTAGTCATACCCCCATTTCACTGAAATAAATCCAGTTATATTGTAACAGAGTGAGCTCATAGCTTGTTTGTTAGGAGGCACAAAGCTAGAATATTAGGAGATCAACAATCTTTAGTAACCTTGACATTCCCTTTTCCAAAATCTTCTTTTCCCGCCAAAACAAGCTATTGACATCAAACTTATGTTGTCTGGCCTTGGCCTTCTTTCTAGAAGTTTTGAAATGCTTTTTTTTCATCCTGTGACCCAACCTTGACGTACTAGTAAATACCTTGTTGTCGTGCCTTATCAAAGCAAACGCAATTGTCCTTGTTTTGTTTTGTTTTTTAAAGCTTCTAGGACCTCAATTGTCAGTTTAACTACTATATCTGCGTAGAATAGGATGATGAAATCTGATGCAATCGAGATATAATTAGCAAATCCCACGTGAGAACATACATAATAAACAAGTTTAGACGTACTAGAATATTCCAGAAGCAGACAAAGCGAGAAGAAAACAAATACCTAGCATTCCAGCATCCAAGTATAAATAGCGAGTAACAAAGCACTTTAGCAATTCTTCAGTCCACAAGACTCAAGAGAGGAGAGACCAGTCATGGACTCTCAAGACAGCCTTCAGTGGTAGAGATGTAAGCCCAACACTGGAAGCAGAGCAGCCGTTCATATGGATCCTCGAAGACAGTCACTAGAGAGCAGACATGAAACGAGACATCGAGCTACAGAGACAACACACAAGATACATGGATCCATGGTTAACAGAGACACATTAGGAACACTATAGAGATGTTAGAGTCGACGATCAAGCCGTTAGTACCAAACAGCACTAGAAGCCAGGTGGCAATAGAGACACTAGAACCCGTTAACAAAGCAACTAGAGAACACAACGCGAACCTACGAGTATTTAGCCATAGAGAGAACTTAGCACTATTCAGAATATCATTGATGTATTTGTGACATTGTTAAAGTATCACAATAAAGACAGTGTAGACGAGAACTGGTGTTTCCAGCCATCTTATTATACAAGCATCAGAGTCACGTGAGAAGCATGCAGCTAGCAAGACATCATCATCATCTTCGCCACTATCGACACGACCATCTTTCTCCTCGTCTATAATCTTCTAATCGACTCCTCCTGTAGCAAACCTAAAGACGAACCTGGGTGTGACATCAACATACGCAACGAAGAAGAGAGCTGTGCTACATTATCATCATAGCACCATTCCGTCTCTCCAGACGATAGTGTTATATTGCGCTATGAGGAGGCATGAGACTCACAGCAAATGGCGATGGCGTGTGTGACTAGCAAGACCCGCCTGTGTCAAGAAAACTCTTCTACATTGAGAGCATGGGATTTCAGGACCATTGTTGTCAACATTTGTGTTTAATCCGTTTCTTTTCAGATGCTCAGCTCTCATCCTTTCTGCAATCATTTCTTCCTTCAGTCTCATTCCCTTCCTGATATACCCTTTCCACACAACACGGTCCATGGCATTTTGTTCCCATGAGTCCGCCTCAATACCTGTATCATTCATGTCCCACTTGCATACATCTTTATAACGTAGTAGAGGTCGGCCTTTATGGTAAATTAAAGACAGAATGTCATATTGCTATAAGAAATAACATTAATTGAAACATTTCTTGAACTTGTTGAATTCTCAGCAGAGGCTCGGACGATGAAGCCATGAACCACCATGGCGTGTCCCGATCTGTCATCTATGGAGGGTCTTCTAACCCTGCCCAGCATTCGAAGCCAGATGGACAGCAACAACCAGGTGGCTGTTGACTTTCTGTTTCCAAACGGCATCCTGGTTCCACTAGAGGTCAACTATTTTTCACCTCTTGACCAAGTCAAGCAGGTATGTTGTCACCTGTAACAGGCTATTGAAACACCCCACACATTTACCTGTGTGCCACTTAGTTAGACTTTGACAACCCACACTTAAGTTTGTGACATCCCACACATTTACTTGTGTGCCACTTAATTAGGCTTTGACAACCCAAAGTTTGTGACATCCACACATTTACTTGTGTGCCACTTAATTAGGCTTTGACAACCCAAAGTTTGTGACATCCACACATTTACTTGTGTGCCACTTAATTAGGCTTTGACAATCCACACTTAAGTTTGTGACATCCCTCATATTTACCTGTGTGCCACTTAATTAGGCTTTGACAACCTACACTTAAGTTTGTGACATCTTAAACACTAGAATGCTGGAACTAACACAATCTCACATGCTTCGATTGTTCTCTGACAGATTATCTGGAGAGAGGTGCACAACTACCCACTGTCCCACAACCTCTTGTCCCAGGATGCTTACAGCTTCGTCTTTATCAACAAACTCGGGGAACGGGTGAGTCTTCTTCTTCTGTTCACTTTCTGTTTTTACACCTATAGGCAAGTTCTTGTGATAAACTTAACTGTTTTCTGGAGTTGCCTTTTAGTTCCATACAACTTTGAGTACAGTGTTAACCGAGTGGGCCAGTATTCCCATCTTATTGGGCTGTACAAGGGACATTCCTCCAGGACGTTCTCTAGTCTGCACACTCAGGGCACATTGGTGAACTAATTAGATGAAGCCTGTGCATATGCTTGTTAAGTTTGTCTGTCCTGAGGTGTAGAATAATGACCTGCACATGCTGGTTAAATAAGTGGTAGTCATTTCTGGCCAGATTCTGTTCACTTCTTATAGACTGAATGGCCCTTTTCTTCTCAAAGCATGTTACTGCATTCTCTTCCTGGTCACATTCTGCCCCTTTATTAGACATTTTATCTGCGGTTTTGTTTCCTGGTATACCACAGTGGGATGGTACCCACTATTGGGAAGATGACTACTTGGTGGCAGTCAGAACCTGTTGTGTAACATTTCGGCAGCCTGCTTTAGTGCTAGGATCTCTGCTGTATAGTTAGAGATTATAAATTTTACCTTAAAGTTTAAACAATATTTTGATTTTTGGACTTTCTGTTTGTGTAAAGAATTTTAAAAACGTACAATAAAATACATTTGTAAAGTAATGGCTTGTACTTAGACATCAGAAAATATGAACAAGAGCCGGTTTTGATACAAAAGGGTGTTTTGATACAAAAATTGTTTTGATACAAAAAGGGGTGTTTTGATACAAAAAGGGTGTTTTGATACAAAAAGGGGGTGTTTTGATACAAAAAAAGCATTTTGATACAAAAAAGGGTGTTTTGATACAAAAAGGGTGTTTTGAGACAAAAATGGTGTTTTGATACAAAAAGGGTGTTTTGATACAGAAAGGGAGCGTTTTGATACAAAAATGGTGTTTTTGGTAAAAAAATGGTGTTTTGCTAAAAAAAAAGGTGTTTTGATACAAAAAAGATGTTTTGGTACAAAAAAGGGGCGTTTTGATACAAAAAGGGTGTTTTTCTCTCTCAACAATATGAATGGGATAGAAAGTGATTATTTATAGATCTCCGGCATCTCCAGCTTAATTTGTTATTCGGCATACCCATCTGCCACATTAAGCCAGACGTCACAGAGTCTACTGTATATATATCATATTTATACACACCTTAGTTTGGTGGTGGTGGTATGACAGCAGGAACTGGGCACTGAGCTACGAGAGATAATTAACAAACTGGATGGGTTGGTTTGGGTCTGTTTTCTATTGAAAGGGGAGATAGGGACATCAGAAGAAGAATCTGATTGTCTGACAGTTTCCCCATTGCCCGTCTCGCAGGAGGAGGTCCTAGACGAGAGCCAAAACCTGGAGGAGCTGCAGCCGTTCCTTGGCCTGTTTCAGGTAGTGAAAAAGAAAGGGGACACCACTTCAAAGACTTTAGACAAGAATATCAATTTCCTTATTGGACGAGGTGAGTGGAACTTTAAACAGATTGTTTTTGTATTATTGTAGGCTGTTGCTAGTGCACCACTGTAAAGACAACATGGGAAGAAGGGGGGAGGGAGGGGAGACCTTGTTTAACTCATCATCATCATCATGTAGCAGGTCCTTTGCAGAATGTTGCTCTCATCACAGTCTGCATGAAAGAAACTCGGTCTCTCGCCAGTTCTCCCGCCTCATGTACTTTCATACTCAAGGAGTCACTTATATCCTGTGCCCATCTTCATGTCGGTCGGCCCCTACCCCTCCTTTCTGGTACCATGCCTTCTGCTATAATTTTTTCCAATCCGTCGTGGCGCTTGATGTGACCAAAATATTTCAGCTTCCGAGAAAGGTTACTGTTTTGTAGCCAATCTTTCTTGATATTCAGATCTTTTAAGATGTCAATACTTGTCTTCTTCTTTGTCCAAGACATTCTGAGAATCTTTCTATAGCATTTCAGCTAAAAAGCCCCTATTCTCTTTCTTAAGGACTGAGAGATAGTCCACGACTCACATCCGTATGTAGCCACAGGAAAGATGCACGCTCTCAAAATTCTAATTTTGATCTCCTTGCTGGTGCTTAACCATAGACTTTTAAGGCCGTTCAATCTTTGCATTGCTATGGCCATTCTCCTTTTAATTTCTGTCGAACAGTCTCCATTGCTGTTTATTATAGAGCCTAGATGCTTGTTTAACTGCATAATAATAATATATAAATTATTACTCCTTTTTAGCTCTGGGACACCATTGTAAGGGAAAATAAAGATGGCTAATTAGGGATGTTCTCTTAAAAGTCACAGTGCATCTGCCTTAGGGGTAAGGAACCAACAGTGGATGAACAACCAGAACTTTACTCCAGGGTTTACAGTCAGTGACTGCTAAAAAGAAGAAGAAGCTATATAATATATATTGTTCTGTTCAAAATGACTTTTAAAATATGACCTTGGCTCGAAGGATGACCCAACCCTAAATAGGTACCAGGGAAAGTCTGGGGAAGTAAAGGTGGTCAGTATGATGTTTGCCACATCACCCAGCGAGTGCCGATTGGTCTGTAAAATATAGGTCTAGCCCTGTATGCTAAATACGGATGAAGTGTGAATAATTGTTCTGTTGTTGACACTGTACTTCGAAGGTCTGCAAAAACAGGAGTCGTTTCAAGCTGCAGAAATTAACCATTTCAGGGAGAAGATGATGACACTGTGTCGGGAGATCACAGCACAGAGACGGTCGCAGGTTTGTTGTGTTGGTTCTTGTGGGGTTTTCAAATAATTGGATATCACAGGATATCTAGGGTTATCACATGACATCTTGGGGTATAACAGGACATCTTGGAGTATCATGAGACATGTAGAGATATCATAGGACATCTAGGGGTATAACAGGAAATGTATGAACGAACGAACAAACTTTATTTTTAAAGGGTTACAAATTACATTCGGCCCTTCCAAGCACCCGTCTTTCACACTGCAGCTGTATTTTATCAATAAGCATGTAATATTTATATGAAAATATGCATATTATGAATATGGGTATCATGAGACATCTAGGAATATCACAGGAATATTTAGGGATATCACAGGCCATCTGAAAATATAGCATGACATCTGGGGATATTACAGGAGATTTAGGGAAATCACAGGCCATATATTGATATCACATGACATCTAGGGATATCACCTGACATCTGGGGATATCACAGGACATTTAGAGATATCACAGACCATCTGGGGATAGAACATGACATCTAGGGATATCACAGGACATCTGGGTATATAACATGACATCTGTAAATATCATAAGTCATTTAGGGATATCACAGGCCATCTAGTGATATCACATGACATCTGGGGATATCACAGGACATTTAGGGATATCATAGGCCATCTGGGAATATAACATGACATCTGGGGAAATCACAGGACATTTAGGGATATCACAGGCCATCTGGGGATAGAACATGACATCTGGGGATATTACAGGACATCTGGGAATATAACATGACATCTCGAGATATGACAGGACATTTAGGGATGTCACAGGCCATCTAGTGATTTCACATGACATCTGGGGATATTACAGGCCATTTAGGGATATCACATTTGAAGAGTGGTAATAAATGAACACTGCAAAAGTAGTTTTTGTCTTCTGATGAATTTCACTGTACAAAACTGAATTTAAATGAACAAGACTTCATCACCATCAAGTGTCTTGCTGACTGGCGTGAGAAAAAATGTCTGTCCACAATCCTTGGTCCACAACTGTGTGTATCAGTTCACATGTTGACACCCCTCCATGGTCCACAACTCTGTGTATCAGTTCACATGTTGACACCCCTCCATGGTCCACAACTGTGTGTATCAGTTCACATGTTGACACCCCTCCATGGTCCACAACTGTGTGTATCAGTTCACGTGTTGACACCCCTCCATGGTCCACAACTGTGTGTATCAGTTCACATGTTGACACCCCTACATGGTCCACAACTGTGTGAATCAGTTCACATGTTGACTTTCCTCCATGGTCCACAACTGTGTGTATCAGTTCACATGTTGACACATGGTGATCAGTGGTGAATTAAACAGATTATGAATGCACACAAAAATTTCTCTGGAATGATATCAGCTTTTTTTGGTTTGTACACAGACACCTCTGGAGAAGTTTATGTGGCGATACCCTGTCCGTCTTCGCAGCACTGCAGACTTACCCAAGGAGCTGGAGGGGAGAATCACCAATGACTGTATTGTTGTTGATATCGGATTTGGTGATAGTGGGGTAGGCTTTTCACATTTATAGAATTTTCACTGTAGCATTATTTTGTTGCAAATAGGGAACTCAGCTATCTTCCGAACAACGGGCACAAAAACAGGGCCTCAGCCACGCGTCAATTGCGCACTTCCGGTGAACTAATTTGCGGTTTTCCGGCGATTACCGCCACCACCGAGAGTAGATTGGGGCTAAACTATATGGCTGGACTCACGAGCAAAGCTGCAGGAGATGCGGAAGCTGCGTGGGGGATACTCTCGGCGGTTGCGCAAATGACAAGTGACAAGTTATTATATTTTTGATTCTAATGTTATTTCATTTTTAACATACACTTCTAAAAGTTGAAAAAGAACTTAAGACATGGAACAAAAGAAAGATGCTTTCGAAAATAAATACCTGAGGAAAATTATGAACATAGAATGGTTTGTAGAAATAAGAAATGTCTGGACAACCACTAGTGTCAACAGTTATGAGACAGAGAAAATGTCACTACACTGAACAACCGCTGGTGTCAACAGTTATAAGACAGAGAAGATGTCACTAAACTGAACAACCACTGGTGTCAATAGTTATACGACAGAGAAGATGTCACTAAACTGAACAACTGCCGGGGTCAGCAGTTATAAGACAGAGAAGATGTCACTAAACTGAACAGCTGCTGGGGTCAACAGTTATAAGACAGAAGATGTTACTACATTGGACAACCGCTGGTGTCAACAGTTATAAGACAAAGAAGATGTTACTACATTGGACAACCGCTGGTGTCAACAGTTATAAGACAGAGAAGATGTTACTACATTGGACAACCGTTGGTGTCAACAGTTATAAGACAGAGAAGATGTTACTACACTGAACAACCACTGGTGTCAACAGTTATAAGACAGAGAAGATGTTACTACACTGAACAACCACTGGTGTCAATAGTTATAAGACAGAGAAGATGTTACTACATTGGACAACCGCTGGTGTCAACAGTTATAAGACAGAGAAGATGTTATTACACTGAACAACCGCTGGTGTCAACAGTTATAAGACAGAGAAGATGTTACTACACTGGACAACCACTGGTGTCAACAGTTATAAGACAGAGAAGATGTCACTACACTGAACAACCACTGGTGTCAACAGTTATAAGACAGAGAAGATGTTACTACATTGGACAACCGCTGGTGTCAACAGTTATAAGACAGAGAAAATGTTACTACATTGGACAACCGCTGGTGTCAACAGTTATAAGACAGAGAAGATGTTACTACACTGAACAACCACTGGTGTCAACAGTTATAAGACAGAGAAGATGTTACTACATTGGACAACCGCTGGTGTCAACAGTTATAAGACAGAGAAGATGTTACTACATTGGACAACCGCTGGTGTCAACAGTTATAAGACAGAGAAGATGTTACTACACTGAACAACCACTGGTGTCAACAGTTATAAGACAGAGAAGATGTTACTACACTGAACAACCACTGGTGTCAACAGTTATAAGACAGAGAAGATGTTACTACACTGAACAACCACTTGTGTCAATATTTATAAGACAGAGAAGATGTTACTTCATTGGACAACCGCTGGTGTCAACAGTTATAAGACAGAGAAGATGTTACTACACTGAACAACCACCGGTGTCAACAGTTATAAGACAGAGAAGATGTTACTACAATGGACAACCACTGGTGTCAACAGTTATAAGACAGAGAAGATGTTACTACATTGGACACAATATGAGAAGCCATGAACAGACAATTCTGTGTTGCTGTTTCATTGCATAGTGTTTGCTTTCTTCCATGTCAATCTAACCAGCCAGGTCTGTCTCATTGTGCAGGTTTCAATTTGATTAGGTTGTGTGTTTCTTATTGTGCCATCCGTTGGTGGTGTTACTGCCATTGATTGGGCTGTCTTCTGAGCTATTCGTGGTGATATTGCTGTACCAGTTATGGGAAATAGAGGGATTTAGGAAACATGGATTCCATGAGAAACCATCCAGGATGAGAGATTTTAATCTCAGAATAGTTTGGTAAACCTTCAAGTGGCATCCTCTCTAAGTCAAACTGATCCATCTCAAAGAGCTGCTTTATGCTGCTTGTGACAGATTCATGCGGTGGGGGTGATATGTCATGTATCTTCCAGCGTCAGAGGTCACATGTCCAATCTTTGTTTCTCAGCATTGGTGGTCATATGTCCTGTCTTTGTGTCCCAGCATTAGGGGTCATATGTCCTGTCTTTGTGTCCCAGCATTAGGGGTCATATGTCCTGTCTTTGTGTCCCAGCATTAGGGGTCATATGTCCTGTCTTTGTGTCCCAGCATTAGGGGGTCGTATGTCCTATCTTTGTGTCCCAGCATTAGGGGTCATATGTCCTGTCTTTGTGTCCCAGCATTAGGGGGTCGTATGTCCTATCTTTGTGTCCCAGCATTGGGGGTCATATGTCCTGTCTTTGTGTCCCAGCATTAGGGGGTCGTATGTCCTATCTTTGTGTCCCAGCATTGGGGGGTCATATGTCCTATCTTTGTGTCCCAGCATTGGGGGGTCATATGTCCTATCTTTGTGTCCCAGCATTGGGGGTCATTTGTCCTGTCTTTGTGTCCCAGCATTGGGGAGGTCATATGTCCTGTCTTTGTGTCCCAGCATTGGGGGGTCATATGTCCTATCTTTGTGTCCCAGCATTGGGGGGTCGTATGTCCTGTCTTTGTGTCCCAGCATTAGGGGTCATATGTCCTATCTTTGTGTCCCAGCATTGGGGGTCATATGTCCTGTCTTTGTGTCCCAGCATTGGGGGTCATATGTCCTGTCTTTGTGTCCCAGCATTGGGAGGTCATATGTCCTATCTTTGTGTCCCAGCATTGGGGGGTCATATGTCCTGTCTTTGTGTCCCAGCATTGGGGGGTCGTATGTCCTGTCTTTGTGTCCCAGCATTGGGGGGTCATATGTCCTATCTTTGTGTCCCAGCATTAGGGGTCATATGTCTTATCTTTGTGTCCCAGCATTGGGGGTCATATGTCCTGTCTTTGTGTCCCAGCATTGGGGGTCATATGTCCTGTCTTTGTCTCCCAGCATTGGGGGTCATATGTCCTGTCTTTGTGTCCCAGCATTAGGGATCATATGTCCTGTCTTTGTGTCCCAGCATTGGGGGTCATATGTCCTGTCTTTGTGTCCCAGCATTAGGGATCATATGTCCTGTCTTTGTGTCCCAGCATTGGGGGTCATATGTCCTGTCTTTGTGTCCCAGCATTGGGGGTCATATGTCCTGTCTTTGTGTCCCATCATTGGGGGTCATATGTCCTGTCTTTGTGTCCCAGCATTGGGGGTCATATGTCCTGTCTTTGTGTCCCAGCATTAGGGATCGTATGTCCTGTCTTTGTGTCCCAGCATTGGGGGTCATATGTCCCATCTTTGTGTCCCAGCATTGGGGGTCATTATTCCTGTCTTTGTGTCCCAGCATTAGGGGGGTCATATGTCCTGTCTTTGTGTCCCAGCATTGGGGGGTCATATGTCTTATCTTTGTGTCCCAGCATTAGGGGGGTCATATGTCCTATCTTTGTGTCCCAGCATTAGGGGGGTCATATGTCCTGTCTTTGTGTCCCAGCATTGGGGGGTCATATGTCCTGTCTTTGTGTCCCAGCATTAGGGGGGTCATATGTCCTATCTTTGTGTCCCAGCATTGGGGGTCATATGTCCTGTCTTTGTGTCCCAGCATTGGGGATCGTATGTCCTGTCTTTGTGTCCCAGCATTGGGGATCGTATGTCCTGTCTTTGTGTCCCAGCATTGGGGATCATATGTCCTGTCTTTGTGTCCCAGCATTGGGGGTCATATGTCCTGTCTTTGTGTCCCAGCATTGGGGGTCATATGTCCTGTCTTTGTGTCCCAGCATTGGGGATCGTATGTCCTATCTTTGTGTCCCAGCATTGGGGGGTCATATGTCCTGTCTTTGTGTCCCAGCATTGGGGGGTCATATGTCCTGTCTTTGTGTCCCAGCATTGGGGATCGTATGTCCTGTCTTTGTGTCCCAGCATTGGGAATCGTATGTCCTATCTTTGTGTCCCAGCATTGGGGATCGTATGTCCTATCTTTGTGTCCCAGCATTAGGGGGTTGTATGTCCTGTCTTTGTGTCCCAGCATTGGGGGTCATATGTCCTGTCTTTGTGTCCCAGCATTGGGGATCGTATGTCCTATCTTTGTGTCCCAGCATTAGGGGGTTGTATGTCCTGTCTTTGTGTCCCAGCATTAGGGGGTTGTATGTCCTGTCTTTGTGTCCCAGCATTGGGGATCGTATGTCCTATCTTTGTGTCCCAGCATTGGGGATCGTATGTCCTATCTTTGTGTCCCAGCATTGGGGATCGTATGTCCTATCTTTGTGTCCCAGCATTAGGGGGTCGTATGTCCTGTCTTTGTGTCCCAGCATTGGGGGTCATATGTCCTATCTTTGTGTCCCAGCATTGGGGGGTCATATGTCCTATTTTTGTGTCCCAGCATTAGGGGGTCATATGTCCTGTCTTTGTGTCCCAGCATTGGGGATCGTGTGTCCTGTCTTTGTGTCCCAGCATTGGGGATCGTATGTCCTATCTTTGTGTCCCAGCATTGGGGATCGTATGTCCTATCTTTGTGTCCCAGCATTAGGGGGTCGTATGTCCTGTCTTTGTGTCCCAGCATTGGGGGTCATATGTCCTGTCTTTGTGTCCCAGCATTGGGGATCGTATGTCCTGTCTTTATGTCCCAGCATTGGGGATCGTATGTCCTGTCTTTGTGTCCCAGCATTGGTGATCGTATGTCCTATCTTTGTGTCCCAGCATTGGGGGGTCATATGTCCTATTTTTGTGTCCCAGCATTGGGGGGTCGTATGTCCTGTCTTTGTGTCCCAGCATTGGGGGGTCATATGTCCTATCTTTGTGTCCCAGCATTGGGGGGTCATATGTCCTATCTTTGTGTCCCAGCATTGGGGGGTCGTATGTCCTGTCTTTGTGTCCCAGCATTGGGGGGTCATATGTCCTATCTTTGTGTCCCAGCAT